AAAAAAAAAAAAAAAAAAAAAAAAAAGAGGGGGTAGGAGAGTTGGGGGGGGAACAAACAACAAAAACACAGCTACAGACACCATTGCTCAAAAAAAACTGTATTTACAAGTAAGCTTAACAGACTCTCCTTTTGGGGTAAGATCAGTAAGACTGGAAAGCATGAGTCTAATAGAACTGCACATCCCCAGTCTCAATGATCCAAGTCTATTGTGGTTTTTGGCTTGGCTACGGCACAAATACTTGCTAATTACTCTGTTAGCAATGGATGAAATGGTCTTGCAGCTACAGTAAAATGGCACCTTCCCATGATCCAAAGACTGAGCAATCATATGCCCAATGATGCATTTTTTTCAGATAACATGACCAGCTGTGTTAGACATTTCAGTACATGTCCCCAGTATGTATTAATCTATTCATTTGGCATCTTAAATATTTTCAGCTACTTTCCTTTTGTATCATATGGAGCATCTCCTCTGAAAAGCATATGTTGTGTGTCCCTTACAGTCACAACAAAACCTTGACATTTATAGTATAACATTTTCAAAAGATGCAATCTTGTCTTATTTCTCTACCAAGCTGTTACGAGGCCTATTGTGTAAGAGTTAGAGCATAGTTTGGTTACAAAAGGGACTTGCCTATCTACACTAAGACAAAGACCACCTTTTTTGTTAAGTTTTAAAGAGAATCCTATGTTCCTAGAGCTAAAATGACAAGTCAAGTCATCAGCAAGGAAGTTCCCCATTGCCCGCCAGTGAGTGTATTTGAGTTTTGGGTAAACAGAATTATGTCAGGATTTCGAAAATGTAAGGACATTCAAGTTTTGCTGACTACAATATGTTTAGCAAAAGGAAAAGGTGTACATATTTTGTAGCGTATCTGAAGCTTATTCAGTGTATGGTAATATTTTTTGAGAACAGAAAGCAGGGCAGTAGCTCACCTTGGTTCCACTGAAAACTTCATTTACAATGCTTCGACATCTTTCTACAGCACCATCCCCATTAAACTCCAAAGCAACCACAGGGCCTAAAAGACAATTTTAGGTTTATTCCAAATGCTTTAGATTGCTCTCTTAAATGTAACATCCTTCATTTATGAAAAAACTTCATTCCATGAGCTTTCTTCATTCCTTGTGAAGCCTAAGTTTTCCAATGGGCACCTAAAAAGTTTGCACAAGCAGTCACCATAATTCTGGACAAGGATTAAAGCTATGGTTAACTGAGCTGTGAAAATACAAGAGCTGTCCAAGAAAAAAAGAATTGTCAGTCCATGTTGGAAAAGGAGCTGATACAGAAAAACTGTATAGGCAGATTCCACTTCCATTTCTTCAGAAAACAGAACACTGCAAAAAGACCAGGAAGTTATAAATTTGAGATGAAAAACTTACAAGATGGAAGATGTCTGTTAGGAACAGGAAGGAATTTTTGCCTGGAGTACAACTTGGCACAAGCTAGCTATCACATAGTATTAAACAGACCTCTTTCCAATTTCACCTTTAGATACGGTTCTCTTCAAATTCTATGAAAACAGATGCGTTTAAAAATATTTATCTGAAGGCCAGAGTTCACACACTCACATAATGGCTATTATAAGTGTAGGACAAAGAGCAATATGAGCTTATTTTGGGTTACTGTTACTAGAACTAAAACATACACTTACGTTGAGCCATTTGCTAGGGTTGTATTGGATTTATACAAATGGAAATACTTCAACACCCAGATACAAGTGTGAATGTATTCTCTTTGTTTTTAAATACTTTAACTATAGCCAACCACTATGGTTAATAATAAATTGGGATTCTATGCTGGTTTGCCCTTCAGAGTTCTGGCTTTTTTCCTCCTGATTTTCATATGCAAGATAACATGTGGGGGTGGTTCTCCAGCAGTGGTCATTCAACCTAGAAAGTCTGAGCACAGCTGATCTGCTTTGTAGGACAATGGGTGTGGCAGGATAGGACCAAGGGGTGCCGTGACCTCCCCTAGCACCCGTTACCTACCGTGCTAGATCAGGTCTTATGCACCCTCGCTATCTCGCCCGCCACGTCTTTGATGTTAATATGTTGAAGGGAGGCTGCCTTTCTAACCTTCCTTGGCACGGTGCCTTGATGTATCCTGGCTCTGCCTAGTTGCTCAGTGCCCTCCAACCTCTGGGCTGCACATGAGTCCCACAGTCACCTGTAGGCCCTCACGGGTCCCTGGACTCGTCCCCATTGTCTGCCTGTGCCCTCACGGGCGCCTCCTAGCTTCTCCTGCGCTCTCGCCCCACCAAGGCCTGTCCCGCCTTGCGATTCCCACAGCCCACACCGGGGCCTGTCCCGCCTTGCGATCAAGGCTCAGGTGGCCGTAGCTGTGCCTCGCCTCCAGACCTCCTTTCTAGGTCTTGCACCACACTGGGCTCCTCCCAATAACTGCCCACACTGGGGCCAGGGTCGGGACACCCCAAAACACAGCACCCTCTCCAGCACCAGGAACCCTGACACTACTGGGGAGCTCCCATGAGGCCTCCTCCAACCCCTACAGCCTCACCCGGTCCTCCGGTGTTACACAACAACAAAAACAGAAAACACAAAGCCCCTGGGTATAACGAAAATTCCAAACCAACCTGGCTATCCTTCATCCCTACCCCTGTCAGGGTTTTCTCCACCCAGTACCATCATGCTGACGCTGCTCAAGCCATCCGGCTTCTCCGCTATGCCTGCCCTGCTTGCTCCAGCAGAGCTCCACCTTCCTCGGCTGCCAGAGGGAAACTGACATTCCGGCCTCAACCTGGCTGTTTATAAAGGCCAGGCCCTGCCCCCTTCTAGTCAGCTGACCAGACTGGTTGCCCCGGCAACCTGCACCTGTGCTGCCCTGGTGACTGGCAGCTGAGCTCATACCACTGTTGTCAGTAGCAGGCACCTTAGTGCCCTGCTACAATGGGCAACATGCTTTGTCCAACCTGTTGATCTTGTGGAACACCAAGAGATGTGTTCCCTGCTTGCAGAAATGCGGCACGGGTAATCTCCATGGCACACCTCTGCTCTCAGGGCCAAAACTATCAATCATGTTATTCCCTAGGACCACATCAGAGAGAGTGTCAACTGCATCCCCAAGAACCGCCACCAAGAGAACCTGGGCAGGGACTCCCATCACTTCAGGGGCCTGATCCCACACTCCCCAGGAATGGGAATTCTTGGGGTGCACAGAATCAGGCCTCTGAAGCCCCACAAATGCTGTTGTCCACATTTTCTTGCCTTAAAAGCAAACAAACAATGGCTGCGAAATAGCAGCACAAAAATCATACCACCTGTGTCATGGCTCCAAATTTTGAGTATTTGTGACACAAGGGGCATGGATATCCGTTTGTTTTGCCTTAGTAAAAATGTTTATGGTGGCACAAAGGCAATGTCTGTTTACACCCTAATAGCATGCTCTTCAGTTGTCTGAAATAAGGTGTTTACGTCTGTTAGAGGCTTGCATATACTACAAGCTGCATTAGATCATCTAGGAAGAATGCAGACTTCAAAAAGCCTACCTGCAAGGGTCAGGGAAGTATTCATTCATCACTTCAGAACCAGATAAATAACTTCATTTAAGCCAAAAGGCCAAGAAGCCAGTATTAATCAAAATAAAATTATATATATATATATATCCAACAGTAGTCACTCCAACGGGCTCCAACTGTGTCTAAGGGGCAAGAGAATTAATTTCTTTCCTTCTTTCCTCAGCCTTTGTCTGAGAGAAGAGACTGACAAGGAGGGGGGAAAAAAAGTGAACATTAAGAAACTTTACCTTTTTCAAGCAATGGGATAAATTCAGATACACGCTGCTGAAAAACTCTTTGAGCATCCTCAGCTTTCATTGAAACTTCCTTAGTCTGAACCAATACAAAGCCTTTTCCAGTCATCTGTTTTTAAAAAAAAAAAAAAACCAAAAAAAAAAAAAAACCAAAAAAAAAAAAAAACCAAAAAAAAAAAAAAACCAAAAAAAAAAAAAAACCAAAAAAAAAAAAAAACCAAAAAAAAAAACAAACAAGCCTGAATTAAAAATGTTTAATGTTGTTACACATATAGGGACAGATACAGGGCCTTTTTTTGAAGCTGGAGCCCAAAGTATATGGTAGTATATTCAATACTATTCCCCTCAGAAAATTAAATCACTAGAGCAAAGTGACAAGCTATTTTTCCTCAAATTCCAATACAAAATGCTTTCTTCACCTTCATACTTCCTTATCCTCTCACTCTATTCATCCAATTCTGGCTTCTAGCCTTTTCTACCCAAAACTATTTGTTAACGTGATTTTTCCCCACCCTAATTTCAGGCTGCAAGACTTTGACTTTATGCGTGCTGAGTAGAGTCATTTTGCATATTGGCTTCTGTTCTACCCAGGAGAGCACACAAAACACCAGCAAACTCTCCCTATGTGTGAAGAAGCATGTTTGTGCCCAAAAGCTTGCAAAGAACAATTTTTCCCAACTATTTAGTTGGTCTAGTAAGAGATATCACATCTACCTAAAGAACCTTGTCTGCCTGGGTACAAGCAGATGCTAAAAACTAACTGGAAACAGGTATTCATTGCCTTTAAAAGTCAGCAAGTTTCCCTTTGAGCAATAAACCTAGCTCATGGACCTGCCTCCTCCTACTGCTTCATTTTACTACCACAAGGAGTCAGGAAGCAGTTACCAAACCCACATTTCCAGCAGAAGTCATAACTGGCATCTTATATTAAGAAGGACTACAAAAAGGAGTCCAAGAGTTCCAGTATTTCAACACTGGATGGAAAAGAATCAGTCATCTTTGAGGAATAGTTTAAACCAGTGGTGCTCAGCTTTTGGCCCAACAGGCCAGATGAGTGACATGGGGCTAGTACACGAGCTAGATCAAGCTTCATGCCTCAGCACTGGACCCTGAGGCTCAACACCACCCCTCCCCTCCCACAAGCCTGGGATCAGGCCCTGGGGCCCAGCACCACCTGCTCCTGCCCCAGCATTCCAGGAGTAGACTCTGGGAGACTACACTGCCCCTTCCTGAGCCCCTACACCACGGTTAGGTCCTGGGGCCCCACACCACTCCTGCCCAGCCCTATGCACATCCATACATATAGGGTGTGGGGCTTTCCAGAGGTCTGTAAATTTGGTGCCACCACCCCACCACCTCCCTGCAGGCTGGATGACACAGCACTACAGACCAGATCTGCCCACAGGCCAGCAGCTGAGAAACGCTGGTTTAAGCAATATCTTGTTTTGGTGCGTCACTGTTCTCCCACAACCTGCCGTTCCATGAACTCCTCACAAATTCTTTTCTTGGGTAGCAATTTTCTTGTAGGGGAAACATGATTTTTCTATAAAAACCAAAACAAAACAAAAAAAAAAACTTTCCACTAAAAGAGATACATAACATTAAGATATAACTGGAAGGTCAGATAAGCATGTCTTCAGGTCAGGTATCTCTGTGTGCGCTTTAATCAGAGTGGCCCCAAGAGCTGCTCTTAATTAAAAGCACCTGAGTGTCTCATGCATCAGCATACCCATGCTCAAAAGCGGCCTTGGGGGCACTTTAACTAAAGCTCATCAAATGAGCTTTAGTTAAAGCACCCTCACCATCATTTTTAAGCGTGGGGACACTGATACACAATATGCTGGAGTCTGCTAGAGTGTGGTAATTACCACGTTCCAGCAGACTTGATTATAGTGCATCAAAGCAGCCTTACTGCTTGTGTATAGGTACCCACAGAGATGAAGCCTAGCTCACACATTTCTCCCTCCACTGGCACTATAGATAACTTGCTGCCTCTTCTTACAATGCAAGCCAGATTTAATTTTTTTTTTTTAAATCAAAAACAAAAGGATAAGGAATTTACCTAATAAAAGTGGGATTTACTTTTACATTTATCTTCCATGCATATGGAGTTTGGAGAGGAGCACTGTCCTAACAATATGCATAATGAAGCATTCAGCTGTTCTATCAGGATCCTGCCTTTGCTGCTGATAATGTACGTAACATAGGCTGCATAGTGAGACTGACGTACTAGCATTTTCACTCTGCTGCACCTACTGGGGGGAACAAACAAAAACAAATAAACAAACAAAAAACTTAGGGTAAAAAAACAGGCACTGAATTTGCTGGGGAGCAAGCCCTTTGTCTTGGGATCCTATGGACTTATAAACCTTTTGTCCCACTTAAGTACTCGTGAGGCATGCAAGATAAAATTGTGCTAGTACTTTGCCCCAGGACAACTGCTGTGTAGTTCCAGCTCAAACTACAACGTGTGTAAAGGGCTGTGTCAGACCCCTTTGATCAGAGTCAAAACATGGGACAAATCAGAACTGCCTTAAGTGAGAGGTCTGTTCATACCCACAGGGCAACTGGGGTACATGCACATAGATCTCAAAACCCAATTATCAGTGATGTACTGAATAAACTGAACTCCTGCTCTCCTGGGACAGTCATAAGCACCTAAATCTGTAAAAAAATGAACGTATGCAAAATATAAGGTTGCCAAGTTTCAAAATGTTTCCAATGAAGCAAAACTACATCCTAAAAAATGTGTTAGTAGACATTCAGAAGCAAGACACTAACTTCCCAATTTAGTTTATCTGATATTGCAGGAAATGCAAAGCTTACTAAAGTTCAAGCTACAGCAGACAGAAAATGGTTGCTTACTTCATCAATTAACTTTCTGGCATTTGCTGTTGTGTAGTCACCAGCAAACAATACTGCCAAACATGATTCATCACTGCTCTTCTGCCTTTGTCCCCTAGTTATTGGAATGATGCTCCTTGTGGCATCTGTAGAAATTCTGACTCCTTTCAATTCTTCAGAAGTTGGCAGAGGGACAAAATCCTGAACTGCAGCATCTTCAGGCAGAAGACTCCAATTGTTTTCTCCTGACACAGGTGTGAAGTCATGGATGTTGCTCCACGTGTTATTGAAGATACTAAGGCCTGCATCTTTGAACTGTAAAGCCAGCTCCGGATAGTAGAACTGGAAACAGCCAAATTTCATGCCTGTGGAAGACTCAATAATGGGTTGGGTAGCACAGCACAAGAACACCTCCAACTTTCTGCAGTCCCGGGTGCGAAACTGTTGGCAGGCCACTATGCACTTGCAGTCTTTGCAGTCACGGAAAAACACACTGCCTTTTATGGGTCCTAAAAAGATTCGGCAGTTTGTACAGTCATCAATAGTGATGGTAGCAGAATGATCAAAGATGTAGATGTTACAGTTCTCACACTCTTGAAGGACAAATTGTTGTCCTGCAACTTTTCCAGGTAAGCGGCCCACAGTTTCATCTTTAAGTCCAGAAAACGTATAGTCTTTCGGATCAACCTAGAAATTAAAAAAAAAAAGTTAATTTAGCTTTATAAAGAATAACATAGTAGTTGGTATTAAAAACCTCCCTCTCCCACACTAGTTAGCTTCAATAGCAAGAGACTGAAGTGTCACAGAATTGTTCAGGACTCGCATATTGAGAAGAGACCTGTGTCTCAGATTTTGTTCAAGATGATCTTTTAGTTAGTACCCTGAGAAAAGATTACTGGTTTCAATTCCTGGCCAATGCTCAGTCAGACACCCTGCACAAATCTACAACAGCCTGCAAATGAGTTTTTCATCTAAAATTAAAATAGTTACCTCTCCTTCCCTTCCATTTGTGAAAGAAACTGTTAGGTCTTTCAGAAAAGGTCTCATCTCATGATATTTTTGTACAATGGACTCCCACATCCTGCTGTGATACAAGTTATTAGCAATGAATGACTAACATCCTCTGAAAACCCTAGGTTGCCGTCTCTGACCTTGTCATCTTTCTTGGTCATTATCTTGCCCACCTCTCCCCTAATACTCATAAAAAAAAAAAGAGCTATGTATAAGATGAGCCTTTGTAAAGCTTGTTAACAAGTTGCCTTTCCAGACTGTAATATTACTGAGCAGATTTGCAACATAAGGCATGGCCCTCTTCCTAGGTTAATATATGCTCTGGTATTCTTGAAGTAACTGCCATTATAGTGGCCACGCACTAGCAACTTTCATTTACCCTGCTCTATATCTTGCTTTAATTGACACTGAAACCAAACACTGCTATGCAAGGTCACCTGTCCACCCTATATAAAAAAAAAAACAAAAAACCAAATATTAGAAACCTGTTGATCTCTGCAGACAGGACTTCTTACACAATAAAAATAACTGAATAGTCAGCCATAATTTATTCTTTAGAAGAGAGCTTGAGTAGAGAGAGTGAGCAAATGGAAAAAGCATACTACCAGGGGTCAACCACCTGTAGGCCTCTGGGTTTGAATGTGGTCCAAGAAGATGCGACTTAACTCAGTCTAGCACAGGTTTGGGCAAAGGCAGCTGTGCTGAGCCACCCAACCCCTCCGCAGCCCTCCCTGCCTGTGCTTACCCAGCCCCTCTTCAACACAGGTATCTGCAGAAAAATTAAGTCCAGACATCTTGGACATTCCCGGGGGTGAATATTTGCAACCTGCAGAGCCACAAGCTCCTGCATCCAGTAGCAAAAAGGGTTCTAAGTCCTGCACTATACTACGTTCTACGCAAAATATTCAGTTTGGAAGAAATAAGAATATTAACATTTTCCAAAACAGCTTCAACTCTGCCCTTTTCTGTGAGCACATTAAGATAGCATCTTACAACACCTAACACAGAGATATCTAACATTATACATACAGTCTTACATATGCAAGACGACTTCAGAAAACTGCTATTTTCTGCCCCCGTAAAACCAGGTCAATTTGACAGCCTTGGAGAATTTTCTAAAGCCAATAAGAGGGTGAGACTCGCATGATCAGATTTATGACTAATAAATCCCATTTTCTGACCCTCCAACAGTAATACTCTAAAAATGGACACAAGGTTACATAGAAAATGTTAGCAAGAATGCAATGGATGTGAGCAAGCCTAAAACTCACAAATGTGTTTTGCAGAGTATCCTTCTCCCCCACTCCAACCTTCTTATTTGGACAGTTTGAATGATTTACCCTGACTAGGCACTATCAAATTATTGAAAGTCTTTGTGATGAATAAAGAAAAAATTATTTCCTTATGTGTAAACAAACAAAAACCCTAGAGGGAAAAAGTTAGTTAGATGGAGTTTTAAACAGCCACTAAGAAGTATGTTTATAGTACTTAAAGGAGAAGCAACAAGTTGTCCAGATTTTGTAAGCCAGGAATAAGCTCCCGAGTTAGAGGCAGTCATAACTGGTACATGTTCACATGACAGCATGGGATAGAGCATGCACAGCTGAAGCTCCCTGCCACTGCATGCCACCAAAGCCCCATATCTTTGGTCCAGATACAATGACTCCATGAGCCATAAGTTTCCTGTTTTAAATCATACTGCCAGGCTGTAAGAAAGGCCACTCTACAACAAGAATAGCCTTACTTTCAGAACAGCGTTACTACAAGCCCTTCAGGGCAAGGATTGTATTCTATTTGCACAGAGCTTTGTACCAGGAGACCCATTTAGCTGACCAGCAGCTACACATTTAGCTGCGCAGACCCCACACAGCCTCCTAGAGAAGCCAAAGGAGTGGAAATGAACAAGGCAAATCATACCTTGATCCTTGCCACAATGGTATGGAAGCATTACCAACTAGCCTAGCTGACTTCTGCACATTTACATTACAGTAATTCTATAGGTCAGGAAAGCCCTTTCATTGGGAAAGAAACAGATGAAGACTAGGGATGTCAAACTCGCCACCTGGCCAAGGCTGGATCTGGATTGCAGGGCTCCTTGTGGGCCAAATCCAGCTCAGGACACTGAGTGGGTCTGACAGCAGCAGTTCCAGCTCCCACCTGATGACAAGCATTTCAGGCCAGGGTGGCAGCTCTGGTACAGAGTACACGGTAGCAACAGCTCCAGTTACAGCACACACAGGCAGGGCTGGGGATGCAGTGGTGACTATGGGCAAAGTGGCCAGACGGTAACCTGAGCTATGTCAGCCCTCACTCACCCTCCTGATCCCAAATCACCATGTCTAAAAATTCTGCAGTAGGCCACTCCCTGTAACCCCAAAACCATGTCCCCCAACTGCCAGTGGCCTGTAGCTTTGCAGATCTGGCCTGTGGGCCAGATGTTTGACACCCCTGACCTATACCAGAGAGACCCATCTCAGAATTTTTTTCCCCAAATGCACAACGCCAGTCTGCCCACTACTACTGCAACCAAAGAAAAACATGAAAAAGGTATGAGAAGAGATGACCATGATGGATGCAGTGCAGAAGCAGGGGACACACTATGATGTACTGCATGTTACAGTTTCAAATTTAAAATTCTGGGCAGGTTTGGTAAGAATATTATTTTAGGTGCACTAGAGGGCAGCAAAGGACTTGCAAGATTCATTGAGAGAAGTAATCAAGACCATGTTAATCCATCAAATGACATCACATAAAATATTCTGGGTCACTTCAGGAGAAAAATATTATTGCTTAAAATAGAGCATGTAGTAACAAAAGAGATGCTTCTCCTAAAAATGGGAAGATGGAAGTTTTGACTTCTGCTATTTACCCTGAGCCTATGTCCATAAATTGGCTTACCAAAAAAAATAGCTTTCAGAACTTCTGTTATTTTGGTCTGTTCTGAAACTTCATTAAATTGTGTGAAAATACACACTTCAATATACTCTTTTCTCTTCTAGTTTCACACAGGTCTTTTACAAGCGTGTGATAGCTGACTGACCTATTAGTTATACACTGGCATCAGCTGATAGGAACTTACAGGAAATGCATCTCAATCACTTAGTCATGATCAGGCAGCCTTCTGTATATGTTACAACTGAACGAACAGTTTACACATTTCCTGACTTGAGTGCCTAGCTGTGCTTCTTAAATGTAGGAATCTTAAAATACAAGAACCATACAGCCATAGAACATTGTTGTGACTTTAATTAAACTTGATTTTATTTTGTCACGGCCCTGAGAAATATGTCAATTCCTATTACAGAAATATTGCAGAGCAAAAAACCCCCATATAGACAGAAAATTAGCTTTACTCAAACTAGGATAAGTGGAAACATCCTGCACAGAATTTTTATTATGACAAAGATTAGCTTTTGCCCATGCAGAAATTTCAGCATCTTGGAAGGCAGCCTGGAGAACAAGTGTATTAGCAATTAAAATGAATGCTTTCTGTACACAAGTAGTTTTGTGGGAGGAAAAACTATATTAAAAAAAAGTTTAAAATAAACCTCAGATGGAAAGTATTCTAGCAAAAGCTAAAATTTATGTTAAATGGTTAAAAAAAATTCCCGATTTTTCTAAGTTATCTTTAAAAAGGGTTACTACTGCAGATATCTGAAGTTTCTCTAAAAAGAAAACTTACATGCAAGCTACACAGGAGAAGCTGTAAGACTACAAAATGCTGCCACATGCAAAAAGCAAAGTTTAGGAAATTTTCACAACTCTCCTGTTATAAAAGATTTTTGTAACAGCAGGAAGTTAGATATTCAGAAGTGCTGACCAAGCAATGTTAAAAAAAAAAGTCAGTCTGGAATACACACACTAATGAAAACATTAGGCCATTCAGCAGAGGCTCATGCATAATTCAGTTTCCTCACCGCTCAACTTTCTGATGCGAGGTCCAACAGGTTTTGATTTAGCAGCAACCATGATTTAGCAGCTGTTGAACACAACTATCACTAACCAATTAAAATTAAATGGTCAAATCCATCTTGAACCTGGCAACAACTTAGCAGTAGTTACCTATTCAACAGCAAATAAAGCTAGGTAGGGAGAGAAGGGATACACAGACTTAAAATTCAGCCTTACACACTTGACTTACTCGTTTGTACCCTGGGTTCTACACCAAGAGCAGAAGTGTCATAGGTCAATCATCCAATAGGGTGAAACAAATGAGAATTTCATCCATAACATTTCAATATCTAAACAGGGATTTTTAAGAGCTATGCCAACAGGTCTCCCCATCCTTTGCATCCAAGCACATATTAGATCATGTCAGCGAGCAACTCTATGAGATGGGAATTTCTAGCAAGTTAAGCACATGCCACTGTAAGATGCCTTTTGTACTACTTTTGCCAGCAGGAAGCTAACGAGGGAGGAGAATTAAGGCAAGGCCTGTAGAGAGAGGTTATTTAATATTGCTATGTTGTGGCAGAGCACTGTCTCTGTCTACCTGTGGATCCAGGCACTTCTGGGATTACAAGCTGACACTTCCGTTAATGCAGCCCAATATGTTGTTAGCTTTTTGGCAACAAAAGCACACTGCTGGCTCATATGCAGCTTATGGTCTACTGAGGAGGGACAAAATGCGGCCCGCCAGGCCATTCTATCTGGCCTGTGGGGCCCCTAAAAGATTT